CCTAAATGCTATAATATAGATGTCTCAGGCTAAAATTAACAGACCTGATTACAAGGTCTTAACCATTTAGAATTTCACTTAAAGGCTGGTAAGAATTCAGATAAATGAAAAACACACTATAGATAAAATGAACAAATGATCAGAATATAAATGTAAGTCTAGAAAAGTTTCTTCTTGCTGCTGACAGCACATATTTACGGCCCATACTACAAAGCTATATTATATTATAAATGTATGTTTATCAAAATCAGTAACATTATATAGATATGTACATATAGAGCATTTCAAAATATTTAGAGCATGTATTTGCAGAGTACATTTTACTAACTATAAAAGTGTCAAAAACATTAATAAAAAGGAAAAATTTCAGGTTTATTAACATTTTAGGAAACTTTGACGACTACAGCCTCCCAGGTGTAAAAAATAAGCAGCTTCTGTGAGAAAGATGTAAAATAATCTAACAGCTTGACTAATTCTTCCTAATGTAAGACTTACATTCCCTTTTATTCTTTCCAGTCAGCTAAAATAAATGTATGTATTTGATATGTCTTCAAAATCTTCTGGTCTTCTCCATCTCTGAGATGAAGTAGAAAAAGCAAAACAGACTATACACAATAAAATAATCTTAGTTATAAAAGAAAATCGTGACAAAATAGTATACTTTGATTCAGTAATCCATTGTAAGATGGTGTAATTTTCTCTTTGGTCCAGAATAGACTTCAGTACCTCATTTGAAGGATTTACAGGGAGCCCTAACTGTGTCTCTAACAGAATCCACACTAGGCCTGCAAAAACGCATGTTTCTAAGGAAGAATAAGTGAAGCAAATACAGTATGAGGCATATGACAATTCATGTGACACCTAAGAAGGAAAACAAAGGTTATGTTCCCTCATTCAAGATAGGTCTCTGCTTCATCTGAAACAGCTGGTGCCAGAAATAGAATCTGGTTTCCCTTGGTACAAAGGGCCATGGATACAAGACCAAGTATGTTTTCTAAGTGACCATGCAGTAAGCAAAAGCCAGGATTTTCAAGGTGCAGGAAACCTGGACTCCCTCCACATTGTCTGACTAAACGCCTAAGGTAAAAGCAATAGGAACTAGTCCCAGTCCCTCTCCCCGATCCCAGGGAGCTGTAGAGAAGGCTGCCTTAGTGCTCAGCAGAAAAGTAAAGAGAAAGGAAAAATGTGTGTGTGTGTGTGTGTGTGTGTGTGTGTGTCTGTTGCTGAGATCAGTCTCATTGCAGATTTACACTTCAGGCAGATTTTAAAACTCAATGGGTAAATTTGGTTAACAAGAGAAGTACACATGGAAAACGTCACATATCAGAATAAAGTATTCAAAGTACAGTAAAAAGAGACCAAAAAAAAGGAAAATGGAGACGAAAGAGTGAAAGAGTGAAAGGTCAAATATACAATGAGATTATCTAATACACATTTAGTCAAGACTCTCAGAAGGAGAGGAAATGAGTTGTCAAGGTAATTTCTGAAAAAAACAGTATCTGATAACTTTTCAGGAATCATGACACAGTCCACAGATTTAAAAGGTTTGAGAGATCCAAGCAGAATAATTTTTAAAAATTACATTCTGACACATCATAGTAAAATTGCAGGAAATGCAAGACAATAAGAAATTTTTGAAAGCACTCGTGGGAAGACACAGATTAATATTAAAGAAATAGCATCAGAATTTCACCTAACTTCTCAACAGCAATAATGGAAGCTATGAGTGGAATGACATCAATCTGCTAAAGGGGAAAAAATGGAATAAAAGTGATAACAGACCAAAGATAATTCCATATTCAGTTTCAAGTTTCCTTCAAGAATAAGAATAATAAAAATATATTCAGACTAACAGAATCAGATGTTCTCAACAAAAAATTCTCACAAAGGAAAATTTGAGAAGTTGTATATCTGGCAAAAGACAAACAACATCTAAGAAGCAAAAAGGAAGGGAAAGCAAGGAAAGTGATTAACAGTAAATAAAATATAAAAGAACATTAACTACTTAAATTAGTAATGAAGTCTAGTGGAATTTTAAAAAACCACAAATTAGAATTAAATTGCTAGATAAGCTTTGAGGACATTAATTATACTTAATCATGAAATGTCTAGAGTATTCTTTTTAAATCAGGATTGAGATAAGCATGTTTAGAATCGATAAGAGAATTTAGCAATATAATTGCATGTTAAATCAATGTATAAAATTCAACTGTATTTCTCTCTTCTGGAAACAGCTAGAAAAAATCTATTTTAAAAATATATGTGTAAAATATATAATAGTATAAAAAATACCACCTACAGGGCACCTGGGTGGCTCAGTCAGTTGGGTGTCTGCCTGTGGTTCAGGTCATGATCCCAGGATTCTGGGATTGAGTCCTGCATCAGACTCCCTGCTCCACGGGGAGCCTGCTTCTCCCTCTGCCTCTTTCCCTCTCATGAATAAATAAATAAAAATTTTAAAAAATTGACAAGGCTTAAAAAAATACCAAATACATGGAAATAAACCTAACAAAAGATGCACAGCCCCCCATGAAAGAAACATTCAAACTTCATTGAGAAAATTTTACAAATAACTAAATAAATGGAAGTTATATCTTATTCATAAGTTGGAATCCTTATTATGAGAAAGACGTCATTATCCTCAAATTTATCTATAAATTCAAAAAAATCCATTAATCAATCCCAACAAGTTTTTGAAAAAAATATGACAAGCTGATCCGAAAAATAATATCAACAAAGAAGAACAAATTTGGAAAATCGGTCATGTTGACTATTGTTATTATTAAAATGATGGTAATTAAAGCAGTATGGCATTGGTATAGAGACAAATAGACTAGTGAAACAGAATAGAAAAGCCAGAAACACCCATTATATGCGGACACTTGGTTTATGCAATAGTTGTACTAGCAAAATATTGGAGGATGTTCTTTTCAAAACATGGTGTTGATCAACTAGGTATTTACATAAAAAAGGAAAATTAGACCTGTACATAACACCATTAACAAAAATCATTTCTACATGTATTACACGAAAGACAAAACAGTAAGTTTTTTAGAAAATCATGTATAAGAATATCTACATGAACTTGAGGTGGACACAGATTTCTTAACCAAATACAAAAATGACTAATCATAAAAGACTGAGAATAAGTTCTGTTCACTAAATGGCATATATCCCATGATCCAACAATTCCATTCCCAGGTATATACCTTAGGATATGTGCTAGGATGCTTAGTACAAGAATGTTCATGGAAACATTGTTCATAATAACCGTAAACAGGAAATAATTGAAGTGGCCAACAAGAGAAGAATGAATGGATAGTTCACAGTATGTTAATGAAATGGACTAATGTAGGGGCGCCTGGGTGGCTCAGTTGGTTAAGCGTCTGCCTTCGGCTCAGGTCATGATCCCAGGGTTCTGGGATCGAGCCCCGCATCGGGCTCCCTGCTCCGCGGGAGGCCTGCTTCTCCCTCTACCACTCCCCCTGCTTGTGTTCCTGCTCTCGCTGTCTCTCTCTGTCAAATAAATAAATAAAATCTTTAAAAAAAAAAAAAAAGAAATGGACTAATGGAGTGAATGAACAAAATCAGCAATGAAATCATAAAATCTTAAAATCATAATGACTATATTAATTTCCAGGACTTCTGTATGATGAAAGGCATCACAAAAACAAAGTTAAAAGACAAGCCACAGACTGAAAGAATTCATAACAAATATTTAGGAATATCAAATATTGATAAGAAAAACACAAAAATAAATTGGAAAATATATAAACAGATAACTCATAAAAGTAATTCTAATGGTAACAAATACGAAAAGATGCTGAGTCTCATTAGTTATCAGAGATTTAAAAAAAACTAGTTATCAGGCAAGTACCACTTGTGGCCTATTACAATGACAAATATGAAGAAGTCTGACAATATCAGGTGATGGCAAAGATGGGAGAGGTGATACTTTCATATACTGGTGAAGACAATGTAAACTCTAGAGACCAAGAGCATTAAGTAAAATTCAAAAAGTGAGGAATAAAAAATCCCACTCCAAAGAAGCACTTACCCAGGTATACAGAGAGAAATATATAATGATTTTCACTATAGCACTGATTCATTGGCAAATATTTGGAAAATAAGTAAAACAAGAAGTATTCATTAAATAGTAACACTATACAGCCACTAAAATGAATGAAGAAATAATTATCAATAATAAAACATAATTATTGGTATCGATTGAATTAAAAACATGACACCGACTTTTAAAGATTCAAGTCACAGATAAATGAGTTAGGTATAATTACTTTTATGTTTACATGGAAAATGCAATTTTATATTCATGCATATTAAAGTAGAAAAATGAACTGAAATGATATATACCACAATTATTTTAGTTGGGAGGGCAGGCGGCCAAAGAACTTCACATTCATCTGTTGATCTATTCTTTATTAAAGAAAAATATTTGAAACAAACGTAACCAAATGTCACCATGCAAGTTTTCTTACGTATTCTATAATTCTCATTTTTAAGTTTTTAAAAATTTCTTAAAATCACACACAATCTTTAAATTATCAACAAACCTTGATCTAGTAACTTCATTTTGAAACTTTATCCCAAGAAAATAATTTGAAATGCAGAAAGACATTCTATTTTGGCTTAATTTGAAATAGCAAAGGACATAGAAATAACTAAAGTGCTTCACAATACAGTAGTTATTAAATACTTTTTCTTATGCATTTCACAGATTATTATGGCAACTTAACAGACATTTATAATTATAGGAAAAATCCTTATTTTAAACAAAGTGTAGAATTTAAAATTTTAGAAAGATATGATCACTACAAATTATGAATCTATTTATTTTAAAAAATAGTAAATATATATAGATGTACATATTTTAGAACTATATGTGATTTTAAAGAAATTATTCATAGTATTCTGTACTTTCTAAATTCTATAATGCATATGGGTCTGCTAGTTTAATAAAATGAAAGTTTTTTCAGACTTACTTTGATTTATTTTTCCTTCTTTTCCTTAAATTTTGAATTTTAAACCTCAAGAGTTTTTCATGATAAGAGGAAGATATCATTCCTAATTTATTAATCATGGGTGATTTGTTAACGGGCATATTCACAGATCATAAATCTAAAGAAAAATATTAAATTTTATGTTAGAATACAAATGCACTTATAGTACCAAATAATACATTATATGTAAATTCATGATCTGTGGGGAAAAGGGTGGCAAGAAGGAAAACCAGGCTTAAGAAAGAAGTTATAATAGGAAGAATTTAAATTTAAATTTAAAATGTCAGACCCAGGAGTCAAACCCAACTTTGAATTGAAAACCCATGTTCTTTCTATTATGTTAGTATTAAAAACTTATCTTTTCATATAATACTTAGCCTTTATTATACTTCAGCTGTTTTATCAGCAAAACCATTGGAAGAACATCATGGCATAGTTAAGAGGATACAATCAAACTGATTTACTTAACTACTCTGTGCCTCAGTTTCCCCACTTGTACAATGGGAATAGTACCTCCTTACAGAGTTGCTATAAGAAATAAATAGGTCAATATATGCACGTTGGTTAGAATAGAGCTTGGGGGGCGCCTGGGTGGCTCAGTCGTTAAGCGTCTGCCTTCGGCTCAGGTCATGAAACCAGGGTCCTGGGATCGAGCCCCGCATCGGGCTCCCTGCTCTGCAGGGAAGCCTGCTTCTCCCTCTCCCACTCCCCCTGCTTGTGTTCCCTCTCTCGCTGTGTCTCTCTCTGTTAAACAAATAAATAAAATCTTAAAAAAAAAAAAAGAAAGAGGAACATAGAATAGAGCTTGGTATATAAGAAGCTTCATGTGGGGGCTTGTAATCATTATTAGATTACTATGCTTTCTGTTTTTTAAAATTACTTGTAAATTTTTTTTGTCTTCTGTCTTCTTACCACTTAGATTATGCTTTCTCAGATTGTCATCACATCCAGATCTTTTTTCTTTTTGAAGAATGTCTGAATACATTTTATGAGTATAAGACCAAAACTAGAAGACGCTATTTTTGTTTAGTGCAGTATTTAAATAGCAAAATGAAGTAATGAAATAGGTAGTCAGATTTACATTGAACTATTTTGCACTTGATTTTTAAGCTAGGTAATTTTTTAAAACTCATCATTAATCAAGGTTCTAGCAGGAAGCACACAGCACACAGCACACTCAAATGGAGTAACTAAAGGGATTCCAAAGAGATGGGCAGAGTTATTCAAATAAAGAAAAATACAATAAAATAAAACCTGAGATGGTGCCGTTCTCAGGGTCTGGAAGAAGGGAGTGAGCCCACCACTCTTGGAACCGGGGGGAAAGAAGGACCCAGAAAGAATAGCTGTAGTAAAGTGGTGTTTAATAAAAAACTCTGGCCTTTGGTCTAGACATGCAGCCCATCTGAGGTTGCCTGCTAAGAGGGAGGCCGGAGAACAGGAACTTTGATCTCACTCTCCTGCTCTCCACTCCAATCACTTGCCTGCACTTCCCATTAGCTAAGCCAAGCTAGAAGCCAGAGAAGGTATAAGGGAGACTGGAGAAGGATGGAAAATGGATCTGGAAGGCCAATGGGAAAATATCCAGTACAAAATGGATTATAAACACAAAACATTCTTATCTCTTGCCATTGGTTATAGCAAGGTCTGCTTCTAATAATCTATATCCCTTAAAATATAAAATAAATGTATTTTTAAGGCAGCAGCTATAGTGGGCTATATATAGGGATATCCTTTAGAGTGACCCTAATTTTAATATACAATATAAGTTATTCCCAAACCGGACTAATATGTTCAGGAGTTTAATTTTTAACAGTGAACATCACCACATTGGATTCACATCGGATATTTCTACCTTAAAAGGAACTCAGGAAAATAATTACAGACAATCATTAATGATGGAAATAAAGTACATATAAGCATCAAACAACAATAATAAAGACATAGGGATAGTGAAAGAGTTAATTTGATAAATATGGTAACAAATGTTGCAAATTTACTGTTGCTATTATGTTTGACAAGTATTTATTGTGAGTCACACAAAATTATGAAGATAAGATGTTTAATTACACTAAGACAAAGTCTTCAAAAGAAGAAAAAAGAAACCTACAATTCTTAAAACATATTTCAGAAATAGAGTTTAGAAATACAAATTTGAGTCAGACATACTCTAAGATAAATTACTTTTAAAAATTTAATTACAAATGAATAGAAAAGAAAAAAATACAGGCAACCTAGGAAGAAAAATAACTGAAGGGAAATTGAATGGAAAGCAAACTGGTCTTTGTGTGCATGTGTTAGATGTACTGACCTAGAGCTCTTAGCCATTTAGTGAGATATTTTATAGGGCTGACTACAGTTAGTCATATTTTTTGAGATTTCAAGAAGTTAGAGACTAATTGTTTGAACTAATCATTGAAGCTATTTTCCAAAGATCCTGCTCATCTGCTGGTACTAGTGTTAAGTATTTGCACCATCTACTCAACATGCAAGTTCCACAATACCCTGTTGATGAGACTCCCCCAGATTGACTGGGTGGAAAATGTCAAGTTGCTGTAGAAGTTTCTACAAGCTTCCTCTCTATTTCTGCCTTACCTTAGGAGTACGAATCTTGAAAGTAACAGTGCTAGTGCTTAACCAACAATAGTTTGTTATTCAAATACTATTTGAATAGCAATGTGATATAGAATAAAGACAGTATGACTCACCAGTGTATTTTATTAGTTAGGATTGCTTTTGACTAAGAGTAAAAAAAACAACCACCAAATAATCTCAAGTTTCCCAAAAGAAAAGATGAATGTCTTCAAAAATGTTTCCCGTTGAGATGTTAGAATTAAATCCTCAGTGGGGTAAATAAACAAAGAAAACAAGGTTTAAAATGACTCCCCTCTCCCCCAAAGATACCTCAAAATAGAGAATCTAAAAATGTTATCAACTGGGCACCTGGGTGGCTCAGTTGGTTAAGCGACTGCCTTCGGCTCAGGTCATGATCCTGGAGTCCTGGGATCGAGTCCCACATCGGGCTCCCTCTGACCCTCTTCCCTCTTGTGCTCTCTATCTCTCATTCTCTCTCTCTCAAATAAATAAATAAAATCTTAAAAAAATAAAAAATAAAAAAATAAAAATGTTATCAACTTTAACAAAATTTTTATTTTTTTCATAAGAATATTCTTCATTAAGGGGTGCCTGGGTGGCTAAGTTGGTTAAGCGTCTGACTGTTGATCTTAGGGTCATGAGTTCAAGCCTCTCATTGGGCTACACACTGGGCATGGAGACTACTTAAAAAAAAAAAAAGATATAGATACAGACATAGATATTTCATCAATTTCTCAGTAAAATCCAAACCCTGAAGCTATCAACAAGGAAGTCGTGTTGCTATTATTATTATTATTATTATTATTATTGTGTGTAGAGTAGGGCCTTTTTGCATTGTTTTAATGTAACTGGAGTCACATATACTAATGATTAGTGGAGCCATCACACCAAGGTTCTACCACACTATTTGATAAAAAGTTTTGTTGAACCATTTATTAAAACCTACTAGGGTAATCATTGGTACCATTTTATTCCTTCTCAGGACGGTTATATGCAGGGATGCTGACTGGTGAATTGTATAAAAAGGGGCAGACAGAGGGAATTATATTAAGCTCTTCAGTAACACCACCTTAAAACAAGTAAAATGACGACAAGAATTTTTATTTTTCTGCTATCACATACAAGACACATTTCTTTTATTTTGCTGAGAAATCAATCATTAAGTGTAAAGAGATTAGAATGGTGACTTATTAAATTGGATTATTTCGCTTTCATATATGTCAAGAAATAGACATTTTTCCTGAATCAGCAAAACATGATGTAAATTTAAAATGAGCTTTTTTATAAGTTAAATAGATCTTTAAGATTTAAATACCCTTATATTCTCTATAGTACCCAAAACATATGGTGCTGACTGAATTTGTGGATTGAAATGAAAACAAAATCTTAAGTGAATAAAAATGATCTTAAAGATTGGATTGCTCTCCTTTTTAAATGAAGTCTTCCCTCAAATACTGAAATGAGAGGTAAAAAAAAAAATCATTATTTTTGACAGCAACTACTTCTTAGACCCACCTCTTCATTTGCTCTAATTTTCTTGATTTATACAGCACTCCACCGCAGAGGATGGTCTACAGTAACTCACATTTTCTGTACCACTTTCCAGGGATAGTTATAATTTAAATAAATTCCACAGATTTACTTTGCATATTTATCTGAAGTGGGCAAAAAGTGTGATTTCACCCTTTACTTCTATCAGAAATGATTTTTATATTAAATTGCATCTACTCTTAAATTTATTCCAGTGCAGAACATCCAGTATCTGGAATCTAGTTTCTGTTGTGCCAGCACTGAGATCATCTTCCCAAGGCTGACAACGAATTCCAGGTAAACAATTCCATGAAGTTTTTCAGTACTGATCTCACCTGATCCCACCACAGTAACTGACTCTGCCTACCATCCCTTCTAGAAATAAGGGTCTTCTTTTTTCATTTATCATGACACTCCACCCTTGGCTTATCTCTCCCTACTTCTGTGAAGTCTCCTTCTCACACGTCTGTATGGTGTAGCGGGGACAGCTTGCTTTCAATTCTCACATCAGCACAGATTACATCTGGGTCACTGTGCAAATCACTTAACTGTCAGGTACCTCAGTTTCCTCATCTATAAATAGGGATTATAATAGTATCTGGCGAGGTGGCCACAAATGAAGGAATGCTGGTAGCCACAGAAGCTGAATGAAGCAAGGAACAGATTTTTCCTCTAGAGCCTCTGGAGGAAGTGCAGCTCTGCCAATACCTTGATTTCTGCCTAGTGAAACTGATTTTGGACTTCTGGCTTCCAGAACTGTGAGAAAATGAATTTTATGCCACCAAGTTTGTGGTAATTTGTTTCAGCAACCATAGGAAACTAATATACAATTCATTGATACCTTCATAAATACAGCAAATGTATTTTTTTAATATTGATTATTAGATGTACTGGAAAATTAAAATAAAAAGGCTAATTGTTCAAAATAATAACAATAGTATCTCCTGCAAATGAGTCATTACTATCCAAATGAAGAGTAATACTCATT